AATCTCATGTCATATCTCAACCTGATGCATATGGGCTTTCTTATATTCCCAACTTTCACTTGCATCAATGGCACAACACAGCTGACCATGAGTTTTCAAATGCCTTGCTCTTTACTTGATGTATAACCAGAGTGCACTTCCCACTTTTTTCTGTTGTCTTGTGCTACTTGCTCTTTACTTATGTTCAGTAGGGTCGGTCACTTGATTTGAACTTGTTCAGTAGGGTTGCTCTTTTTCTGTTCTCTGCCAGTAATTTGCCTAACAAAAGTTCTAATATATGCACATGGCTCTGCAGTGATATATATTTTTCTTACATTGTCATTTGTTAGTATTATGATGATCCTCAAGTTTTAGTAAAAATTAAAAATACACTATTGTGGCTGGTGGCTACTAATCTTCTCTGTACTTGATGTCTTCTCTGTACTCCTCTTCTACTACTCCTCTCCTCTACTCCACTCTACTCCTCTCCTCTCCTAAGACTAGCCACAGCGTTGCTTTTTACCGGTGCCCAAACACTCTCTCTCCTATTTGGAGCACCGATGCCCACGTTGTAGCCGGTGCTGAGATGAAAAAAAAGTGGCCATCGATGCATGTTCGTTCACCGGTGCTTCAAACGTTAAAAAATATTATTCCTCGTTCGCCTCTGCCTCCGTGGCCGCTAACGACGGTGTGTCTTGGGGTCCACAAGCACAGTGAAGCACCGGTGCCCACGCTGTGAGAATTGGAGAGCTGAAGCATCGGTGCTGTGTGTCATACTGAAATTTTTTCCGGCACCGCTCACACTGTGGACAGTCTAAGTAGCTATTGTTTTTTTTGCTACTTCTACTACTTCCCTACTACTACTGTCTACTACTTCTAATTGTCCGATCTGCTTATCAGGTTCGGAAGATATTAAGCATATAATGTTCATGTGTGATCGAGCAAAGTCAGTATGGCAGCTATTGTTTTTTCTGGGAAGCAGCACCTGCTTTTTTTTTTGCAAAATCTTCCCTCTCCTCTATTTGTTGCCACCTTTCCTATCATCTATGTTTTGGAAGCAGCACCTGGGCGTTCGGCAACACGAACGTGGTTTGAAACGTTGGTCGCGGGATGTTCGGTAACGCGATTTTGAATTGTAAATTTGAATTATTTTTTGCGGAAAAACGTACTATAGGGGCGGTTCTAGATTGAACCGCTCCTACAAATAGCTATTTGTAGGGGCGGCTGATACTACAGCCGCCCCTACAAATCGATTTGTAGGGGCGGCCTGAGAACCGCCCCTATAAATGCATGATTTGTAGAGACGATTTGGTAGGGGCGGCTGGCCAAACCGCCCCTACAAAAGATTACCAACCACCCCTACAAATACTTTTTATAGTAGTGGACGATTTCCTTACAAATATTTTAGTTGTAGAGATATACCGACCGCACGTGTATATACCAGACGTGCACAATTCAGGTGGGTCGGAGGATATGATTACCGTTTGGATTGGATTGTTGGGTCCATCTGGCATTGGCAGCTGCTAATTCATCCACATGAAGTAAATTAAATACAATACGATCAATCGATATAGATATATACCATGGCCTTGTTTAGATACACTCAAAATTCCAAGTTTTTTCACTCTCTCTCCATCACATCAATTTTTAGCCATTTGCATGGAGCATTAAATGTAGGTAAAAAAAATAACTAATTGCACAGTTTAGTTGGAAATCACGAGATGAATCTTTTGAGCTTAGTTGGTCTACGATTGAACAATATTTACCAAATAAGACGAAAGTGCTACTATTCATCGGGTTGAAATTTTTTTCAATCTAAACAAGGCCCATGTATATGCATGTGGATTACTGGAACGGAAGTCATCTAAAGCACTCCCATCCAGCTCTACCTGCATGCATGCCAAATTGCCAATAACATATATGGAGTACATACACACCCAATCTACTCCACTATCCAGTCCATGTACATATTTCAATTCATATATATAGGAACACGCATGTATATATCCGGCCGTGTCAATGAATAAACATAAAATAAATGACCAGGTACATACGATCGTCGCAATCAGATCAGATCAGCACCGTGCTATCGTCAATCTATTGATAGCGCAACCGTGTGATTCTGCCATGCCATATATAAGTCAACATTCACCAGACATGGCTGTGGTACAATCTCCTTCAACTAAAAAAAATAAAGTGTAGATATTTTTTTATGCGATATTTGTTTTAGTTCGTCCGTCTGCCCACGCCTGTGATCCCACGATATCTTAATTATTGATTGATCGTGCCATTCTCCTTGATTGAATATTGCCTGTCATGTGATAGAGGAATCACGGTAAAATAGGAAGTAGAAAATTATTGTGCTATCCATATACATATTGCATGTTTGCATGTACCAGCATACATGGCAACGAGCAAAAGGAAAGAGAATTAACACAGAAAGAAAAAGAATTAAGACAAAAGGAACCTCTTTGCATTTCTGAGAACCTTATCAAATCTGTCTACATTTAATTACTTCCCCTCTTTACATTTGCAAAAGGGACAGCTTTTTCCTCCTTTTATTTGGTTTCACGCTCACGTGTTCCATCGCCCTCGCTTGTTGTTTCTTGCGTGAACCATGGTTGATGTCATCTGTCTTCCATGGCTCAGCCTCCCAATCCCAAGAGAAGGTCCCTACCTCTCCCTGATCAGAGATCCGGCCTACCAGAGGATTCCCTCGAGTCCATCGGGCAGCTCTCACGTCAGGCCACGACGCGGCGTCCTTCCGATCCGCTTGCTCCCTATGGAGCACCGCCGTCCCGATTCGCGACCTTCGGGCCGCTCCTGCTGCTCCCGCTCGACCCCGACTCGGACCGCGTCGGCTTTTACTGCGTCCCGTAGAAGGTATTGTTCAAGACGCTGGTCGACGTGCGCGGCAAGGTGGCGTGCGGCTCCTCGTGTGGGTGGCTGGCGCTCATGGACGAGGCGGCGTCCGTGACACTGCTGAATCCATTCGTCTTTGCCCGTGCCCCCCACGTTGAGTTCCCGCCAGCAGGCGAACACGTCGCAGCGGTGTCCTCATCGGAACGTGTGTCTAGGGTCCACGGCCGGTGGGTCCTCCATCCCACCAACGGCTACGGGGACGCGGATGCCGCAGGCAAAGCCATCAAGCTAGAAGACATGAGGGACGTGATCTTCTGTGAGATCGTGCTCTCGGCGCCGCTGGCCGCGAGTGCGTGGCCATGGCCATGCTTGGGTGCTCCACGGAGGTCGCGTTCTGCCGGGTTGGAGTCGACAGCGCATGGACGCTGCTCGACACCAAACTAGAGTTCTCCATGGGGTCCATCGTCCACTGCTAAGACAAGTTCTTGGCGATCGACTGCACTGGAGAAATCTCCATCTGCAGTAGCAACGACACCGGCGCTACTCCAACCGCGATGCTGCTGCCATCGCTGTCACCACCTATGGGGCTCTGCCACCGCAGCTATCTGGAATCAAACGATGAGCTGCACATTGTGGGTGCCATGGTGAGCACATTCCACGAGACATAGAGCTTCACCTACAGCAACGCGATCTACAAGTGCAACCTCCACGACCATACGCCGGAGTGGTCCAGGGTGAGGGACATTGGTGATCAGACACTGTTCGTGTCTAAACATTTCAATGAAAGCTTCAGTGGAACAAGTGTATCCAAGTACAAGAAAAACAAAATCTGCATATCTGAGCCATTGTATGGGGATCCATACGACTTGGTCCATAGACTAGAGATCGTTGATATTGCTACCGGTGCATCCGAAGTGAAGCCCGTCTAGGAAAAGATGCAGGGTTTCGAGGCTCTAGGTTGGATTCGACCCAATCTCTGGAAGCTCTAGAGTTTGTGAGTCTGCGATGCCGCGCACTCTGTGATTGTGTTAAATTCATAAAATTTGCTTTTTGGATTAAATGTCACTTTAACGTTGGTATTTAATTTAACAGTATTGTTATCTTATCATGCGATCCGTGTGTTTTAAGTATAAATTGTTAGTTATCCCGTAGCAACGCACGGGCACGCTACCTAGTAATAACAAAAATCACAGTGAAAAACATTCATTTGACTAGATGACCGATATGCAAATAAGTTTGTCCCTCTTGATAGTACGGCCATCTATCCTAAACTCGGTCATAAACTTCTCTACACTACTATGACCGGTGAAATAAAATGTCCTACAAATATACCTTTGCCTTGCGCATTCCATTCCATCTCCATCGATGTTGATGCAACACATGCACTAACCATATCACAAATGATATGATCCACTCCATATCATCACGTGACCGTATTAGTTCATTGATCTTGACTTCACTTGCTCTTCACCGTTGCTTCGGTCCATCGGGGCCAAGTCATCACCCAACTTGCCCTTCACACTTGCAACCGATCCGTCGAGCCAAGCCTTGTCTTGATCTTCTCCACCTTGACCACATGACTCCATGTCATGTCTCATATGCAATGAGCTCCTTCATCACATGTGTGAGCTTTGAAACATATCCAAGCCATTTCACCTCCATGGCATGTGTTTCTCACACAATTACTTATGGACTAATCACCTGTATATTTCACTTAACCATATATTAATCCACCTAAGGTTGTCACTCAATTACCAAAACTAAACAAGGACCTTTCACTCCTACATATGAAAAATCACTTTCCTACTAAATTACATAGAATTCGCAGGGACCCCCACATAGGACATCAGTTCCTGTTATTGCATCAAAACGGTGTCCACTTTTTAGCCTTTTTAGTTGTGAGAGTACATTACCTCTGAAACATATTAACTGAATCTTCCGCCAAACAATAGATTTAGGCAGCAATTTCCAACCGGTTTCTAAAGTGTTGCCGTTGTATGATTTTGAGAGGACCTGCAAGCTTACAATGCATGCTCAAAATAACTCATTTGGTCTTCATAGAAAAATCTGCAGCCCAAACAAATAATGACCAATATAGGATGGTAATGCAACTTTTATAGCTAATCCAATCAGCTATTCTGTAACATACTCCCATATGCCTACAACGACACAGGCAATAACTCACCTCCATAGTGGCTGAAGAGGTTCCGTGAGATTGAAATTGGCATATCTGAAAGTGAAGGGTTTTCCTGCATAAGAGCATGGTTGAATTAAACGTATCAACAGTGAATAGTAATAACTATTTTTTTTCATCAAACAGGGAGGGCAAGCAAGTGATCTGTGAACTGATAGTTGCTGGCTTGCTGCTAGTGCATTTTAACCCAAATATGTTTATAAAGCTACGACGACATTCTGTTACACATATGAAAATTGCTCAAATGTGATTATAAAGCTACAATACGACATTTACTCCTGTGCATGCTTAAAGAGATTCTATAAAGAAATTTTCATATGCAATACTATGACAATATAGTGAGAAGCAATGAATCCACCATACAAAAGGTTCTATCATTTCACAAGTCAAACCGCAATGCCCTTTACCTAAGAAGAAACCTCACATAGTATTAAAATAAAAAATTCAACAACCCTCGAGTATGAACAATTGGAAGTAGATATCATCAAAGCGACCTTGGTTCATAATCCACAAAATATTGCAAGCCTTACCAGGAGGGACGGGGCCTGATTATAACTATATCAGGTGAGGATATACATTTGCTTTTTGACTCATTCCTTGCCATCTACAAAACCAAATCAACAAGTTCAAGATCCTCCTTCCTGCAATAGACCACAGCTGTCTATTTCAGACACAGCAAACTGTTTAGAGAAATTTTGCAAACTGATGGTCAAATTACTAAAGAATGGAAATAGAGGTTAGTGCAAAGGCACATCTCAGCCAATCTACTCATGTACATTGGATACATATACCAAAATGGAGCACCAACTGATGCAGTTACTTTACAAAACTAATAAAAAAAAGTTACACCAAGATTGCAATTTTGAAATGCAACCGTGCAAGGACACTTACAAGTTTAAAGGCCATCAATTTGTTCTCATCTTCCATCATCTTATTCTACAATAAACCAATAAAATAGTGGATGAGAGAAAGAATTAAAAAGAACCACATGCTCAAATAAAATTCATAATACAGAATCATTAGTCAGATTAAGCTCATACGTTTGTCACATGCCTTTCCCAGTGCTCCATCTTCTACATCAACAAAACAACCAATATCAGAATTTATTACACAGATGACAATTCCTGCAACATCAACCACATTGAGATCGACTAATTGAGTAGATTGATACCAGTTTCCCATTCAGATTTGTCAGTCCTTTATCAAGTGCCTCCTCAATCATGATCAGGTCTTTGGGTTGCAGGGAGTTTAGATCTTCACCTTCAGGTGCCTGTACCATCACACAGGAGATCACATTCTCCATAAATATCAACATGAAACTGAAGAAGTAAATTCCCAAAAAGAAAAGACAACCTATTCTAGCTTAAAAGATTACTATGAGACCACACACTCTTTCAATTAAACTTGATATGAAGATAATTTATTGAAGTTCAAGCATCTCTTTCTTAAGGCTCTGAAATGGTTCATGTGTGCGCATCAAATAGTCAGTCAATATGTTCAACTAATTCTCCGAGGCTAGCAAAATGAATAAATAATAGTTAAGCTCTAAAAAAGGGGTTCCCATTCTGTCTGGAAATCGAATATTACCTTGTGTTTCTCATCTCACAATATCTTTCCAGAGGTGGTCTGGTACTTCTCCAAGATTTTTGTTAGACTACGGCATACCAAAAGGATATCAAAGATACATGCATGAATATTGATAGTGTGTCAGTTCAACAGATACCAATCGAATCAAAATTATCCAAGTCATAAGGATTTTAGTAAAGAAAAAAGAAGGATAGGTGGTTTACCTATACAAATAGAAAAATATATTTTAACCAGACAAGAAACCATTCAGGCAAAAATCTTAGGAATTGTACAAGCTCGTTCCTGATAAATAGATGAGAAAAGTAGTAGTACCTGCAGGGGAGGGATGCTGGGAGCCTGGGGCGGAGGTGTGCTGTACCTGTATACGAGTGCGGAGAGCGCGGCGAGGTGGGACAAAACGGATTCAGTTGCCGCATCTCGGACCCGCGTCGCTGCCGCATCTCGAGGGTGCGCCCCCACATCCCGAGCCCGCCCATGGCCGCCTCCTGGACACGCACCACCGCATCCAGCAGTCCTCGCAGCATTAGACGCGGTCCCCACCGGCGCCGGTGGTCGGGGGCTATCCACGGTAGACTGGGGGAGAGGAGGCGGCCCCGCCCGGCTTCACGCCTCGTTAGACGACGGCGCCCCGCCACAGCCTCGCCTAGGCTACAGGCGGCGCGCCCCACCGCCTTCTCACCTCGCCTGGTGGCGGCCCCTCGCGGCCTCGCCCGGCGGTGGCGGCGGCCAGCGTGTCCCTGAGGTCGCGTGATGTGGCCGTGGCCTCGAGCCCCTCGACGGAGGCAGCGTCGGCGGGGGCAGAGAAGGGTCGTGGCCTCCTCGTCCTCGCGGATCTTGACCGCTACTGGGGATGGGGTGGGAGAGGAGGAATCGCATGTGGGGGAGAGTAGTCGCACTTGGGGCGGTTAGGGTTCTAACCCTAATCCCTAGTGCTAGGCGTGGGGGAGAGGAGTCGGCGTGCGAGGGTCGGCGAGGTGGATCGCGGGGCAGGCGCCGACGGCGGCGGGCGGGGGACCAAATTGTCGCACGGGACCGGCGCGAAGGTGAGGCGAAAGATTGTCGCACTAAAACGGTACCTCCTCTTTAATCTTTTTAGTTGGGTGAGAGATTCAGAGGCTAACAGAAACCAAATTCACTCCATCAGACAGCAGACGTACTGATGAAAAGGAAAACATCTCGGTATGTATCAACTGTGGTCTCTGGGATCGGATGCAATTCATTCCCATCAACACTTGCATGCATGCTGTATACAATACATCTAGCTAGGCTCCATCGTATTGCTGCGTGCCTACTCTTTTGTAGGAGTACAATGCAATCGATTGTGCTAACACCACAACTACAGACAGAGCAAGGTAAAAAGAAAAAGAAAAGAAATGATGGATGGATGGATCATATACTGGAGAGCCATCGCTTCCATAGCACTGACGGTAGAGTAACTAATGTGTTGCACACTTTTTACACCGTAATCTGAACTGTAACCATCGCCCTGGCACGGTTCCAGCATATGCTCTGCCAAAGTCACCTCTTCCATTACCACCCATTATCCACTAATCGCAGCAGGTTCATCATTATCATTCATCAAAGCTGGATCAGTGTAGCAAGCAACCATGGCACCCAAACCTGTATGCAGTACTCTACTGACTTTCATTCGGTTCAGTCCAACGCGGTTTTGGTCCTCCGAGCTGACGCTGGTTTGGGCAGGCCATCAAGCAACGGTCGGGTGAAGGAGTCATGGTTGAAGGTCCACTTTGAACTCGACCACATTGAGACTCCATTCTCTGCGTCTACAAAGCTCGGTGCACTTGGCGACTTCCTCACAGTCACAGATTTGAACCCGTTAAGAAACGACATGCCGCTCTTCTGGCTGGAATATGGGCTGCCTGCATCCATGTTTAGACGGATACTGGAAATTGGCCGTGGCAACAGACTCTTGATCGCCTTAATTGGATCTGCTAGAAAATCATCCTGGGCATCCGTTGTGTTAGGTTCCGCTTCCACTTTCTGTCGCCGCCGTACCGAACCGTCTTGCTTTGGCTTGGGTGCCCCATCTCCCTTGGTCCTGTTGGCAACATTCGTTGCTGAAAAACCAGTATTAGCTGGGGCTTCATAATTCCATCTTCTGTCAGTACCGTTCATGCCTGGAGCTGCGGAAGGATTAAGCAATGTTTCGCTGAGGTTACTCTGGAAGCCGCCGCCCTTATTATGGTACACAGACATTTCAGTGCTGAGATCCATGGCATTTCCTTTCTGGGATGTTAGGCCATAGTATCTCTGCAGGGTACTCATTGCAGGTGACGCCCCCTGCTGACCAGACTTGGATGAATCTAGTGAATCAAGAGCATCTCTGTTTTGCCGATGGTTTGGAGCACGTGCTCTGCAGAAACCACAAAAGTTAAGTTCAAAATGCACAAGTGTATCACTTGTCAACTGAAAATTTTCATAAAGATGTCACCACAAAGATTTTTTTCTTCTTCACATTTATGTTTTTCTTTGCAAAGGATTATATGTATTTATGTTTCATGTACTGACAATGGTCGAAATGCAGTTGTAGCAGCATGATAGCAGATAAACCGTGAGCATGACAACTATTTTGAGTAGGTAGGTTAGGTAAATGACTGAGTCTTATATGGTAATAGACAGTTGAGTGTCAACACTGAATTCTAGGGAAAGAAAAAAAACGTCATGCTTTCTCCGCAACTAATTGAAAAATAACAAAAGTTAAATTAAGAGATCCTGGGCATGGTTTATAACAGGTAGGAAACACACATGAGTGGAGATCTGGAGTGTACCTTTTCGTTCTTTGACCAGAAGCATTCAGGTTGACAGAGGATGGCATGGGCATTCCTGGTAGAGGTATGAGCAACGTTTTGTGTGCAAACATCTGGCTGTCAGTGACCAAACTGTTTGCCCTCTTAATGTCAGATATCTACAAGTAAAATAAAAGAAGTAGATGTTTCAGACAGCAACTCAAAGGCTCATAATGTCAAATTAAAAAAAAAGGAGGGGCTCATAATGTCAGACCTCAGATGTGTAGTGTACGGAAAAAATAAGGATTTTAGAAGCGAAGTAAAGAAGCTGTAAAAGAATTTATAAAAGGTAAATGCTTGGCCCTTGGTGTCGCTGTTAATACCAAGTCCCTGGAAAACATCAGTTGTTGACAGATGACGCAAAGATGATTCATCACTCTGATAGCCATGTACGCAGCTATGAGCATTACAAACATGGTGTTATTTGTAAGGGTCAAGACACAAAAAGTGAATAGGCAGCAATCCCTCAGCTTTTCAAGTCCCCCGTGACGAACACGAAGCACAGGAACGGAGATTCTTTTGAGATATCGTTGCTTGCTTTGCGTGTAGCACGAAATGAGGAAAATTTTGAAGTTTTGGGAAACAAGACGAGACCTCTTCCATCTCGCGGGTGTAGTGTAGAGGCTTTTACCCACCACCACCAACCAAAGCCATCAGGAAGGGAAGGGGAGGGAGGGGAATGGAAAAAAGAAATAAAAAGGGGACGGCGACTAATTGGTGGACGAATGAATGATGAATACCTCGACGCCATACTTGATGGCGATGCCGGCGAGCGTGTCCATCCGAGTAACCTCGTGCTCCAGGAGGTGGCGGTGGGCGAGCGGTGACGAGGGAGGCGTCGTCTCCGGCGAGAGGACGGCGCCGCGGAGGGCGTCGTACTCGTCGGAGAGAGGGTGAGAGATCCCCATGGCGACTGGCGAGCTAAGTCAGGGCGGGGCGGCGCTGGATGGTGGGCAGATCTCGGCGCGCAGAGCAGAGCGCGATTCTGGGATGGGAAATCGACGCGCGTGGAGGAGGAGGAGGAGAATGAAGAAGGTTGGGTGCAGGTGAGGCGTCGCCGTCGGTGGAAGGAGGAGAGGAGAAAAGGCGCGCCTTTTCTTGTGTTGGAGGGGAGCCTGCCTGCCGAAGGCCAAAATGAAATGGAATTTTTTGGAAGGAAAAGCAAGGCTCGGAAGCAGGCGACCAAGCAAAGCCTCCATTCGCTCCTCTCTCTCTCTCTCTTTTCATATTCTTGCATTATTTTTATTTATTTATATTTTTTTACGCGGTTCCAGAGCTTATAATAAACACGTGGTTACAGTGCTTACACACGGTTCCAGGACACGCTGTTCCACCGACGGCCCGACCCCACCCCACCGCGCCTCCTGCTTTCGCCGCCGCGTTGTCCGTGGTCAACCTTGACTACTCGAGCTGATTCCAATGAGCGGTCCATAAATCTGTAACTTTGATACTCTAAAAAAAGGGGCAGAGAGAATTGCAAAAAAAAGTAAAATGCATGAGCGGTCTTTAAATTTGCTTCATTATTATTAAGTTCTTGAACCTTTAAAATTTATTTTTGTCTTTTCAGGTAACTAAACTTATCTCGAGCTCATCCACGTCTAGTCCAAAACTCTTAAAATTTAATGACCTAAAAAATAAAATTTAATGATCTAGGTCCAAACGAGTTCTAACTAGACCACATGTTAGTTTATAGACTCTAGCGCTCCATCTACATGCTCTCTTGTCTCTTCTAGCTGCATCTCCAAGTTCTCCCGCTCTCTTCACATTCCAATCTAGTGCGGCATCGCATTAACATCGTCAACTCGTCATCCTCACCCCGTGCCTTCTTCATCATGCATATATATCAAAGCCCATGACGTCATAAGTAAGGGTGGCGACAAGTCTAAACCTAGTGCTCGTTAGGCGGAGGAGATAGACGAACTATTGCTTTACTATTAAGTTCCTTCCCCAATCAAAAATGAGATGGTGATCCAACCACTATGGCATGTGGCATCGTGACGTGGGGTAGATCGGTCTATTTGGATCTAGATGACACTATGACAAATTTAGTGACCTAGATTATATAGCGAGACAAATCCAGAACCTAAAATAGTATTTCAAAATTTTATTTATAATCTAGATGATACGTAAAGACAAGTTTAAGGATCTAAAAGTATATTTTACGAGTTTAGAGACCTGAATGATATGATGGGACAAGTTCAAGGACCGACAATGTACTTTACTCTTGCAAAATGCACAATGGATAGTTTTTTTTTTATATGGAATAGGAATACAACTACCGAATTGGAAATGAAAAAAAAGGAACCATTTGCTCATTCTACGTATTTTTGTATTTATTAGAAACTAGGGATCAATTTGACGCTCGCAAATTAGCTAAAAGAAACAACCTCCACTTCCATGAGGACCTTGATCACTTTTATGAACTGCATGGGTATATTTACTCTCTTTAGTTCATGCCGACACAAACTAGTTGCGAATATATATATATATATATATATATATATATATATATATATATATATATATATATATATATATATATATATATATATATATATATATATATATATATATATCGGCTGGCCGGGCTGACCTCCTGCCGGCTCTTTACTTCACAAAGAAAAAAAATAGAGAAAAGAATAAAGCAGCCTGACTACAGCTAAGTCAGGTTAGGTAAGCTAGGCACCATCTTTGACCAACTATTTGTACAGTACAGTATTATATTGTAGTACAGATGCAAGGGTAATATAATGCACTGCTGTACTGTCCCAGACAGAAGACTCGCTCTTGCCTTGGGAGCTTGAACCACCACGCGGCCTGCCTTCCCTTTGACTTGATTAATTCCTCCTCACAATCACAAGTCACAACTCCTACCTGCAGTCAACCTTACTTGCCTCCACTAGCTGACTTGCATGTTCATGCATGGCCAACTCCCTTCCCTTGCCAACAAACAACACATCTGTGGTTGTCTGGTTGATTCTAGTAGAAAAGTAAGTGGACAAAAAAGAAAGAAAGAAAAAACATGTCACTGTCTATGCGGTTAGTTATTGGGATATGCATATGAGCAGCTTCCTGGAAGGGAGGTTCATTCCGTTGTATATACAAACAGGTTCTCTTCCTTACCTGTCCTCCATCCCCTCATAATGCATGCAGAATTGCAGATACAGGCATGCAGCCCTGTTAGCTGTTACTAAACTATAGGAGATGCAATAATGAGCTAGTACTATGTGCATGTAATAAAATTATTATACATGCTTCTGACTCAAAGTGCCTTCCTTCTTTCTTTTGCTCCAGTACCACACTACCATGTAGAATCCTGAATCCCCATCCTCCTTTTGAAACCAAAACAAAAGATGCATGGTCCTCTCCTCTCCTTTTCTTTCCTTTCCTTTTCTTTCCATCAAGATTGGGTTGGCAACTTGGCACACTACATAATTGATGGAATTATTATACTAGCACGCTGCTTTATTATGCTATAGTATATCTATCTAGTCCCCACAGTCAAGTTCAGTTCAGGGGAATATGATTCAGACACGGTCCCTTTCATGCATGCAATTTCAGCCCTAACCCCCAATGGCTGACATGCCTTCTACCCAACTGAATAAGATTGTGGTACTCTGCCACTATCTCCACCAAAACTGAAAACGGCAGATTTCTTCACTAGTTAGGTGCAGATGCAGCCACAGCCACACCATTGTCAAACTTATGCCATACATAATTTTGTACGAGCCGTTGACTTACATTCATGCTAAACACTGTTATTATATTTTATTCAGTATCCAATAAGTTTTCATACTTTGCAGCAACCTGTAGCCGGCTGCAATTTACCATTCACAAATGACACACGGTTGTCCAGTTCACTATCTGCACAGCATCTTCATGTACACTTTTGATTCAAATAAAATTATGACTCGAATTAAATATAAATTCAAAAGTAACTGTTATCAGTGTTGCTATGCTGAAGGTGTAGCGGCTTTCGAAACAGAAAACCGCAACGTTCTAAAAGGGTACTACAAGCATAAGTACCATTTGTTGCCAATGCACAGGACATACAAAGGCCACACTTTCTACATGTTGTAGATATAAGAGTCAAAGGTTGTTTCACCTAATTAATTAGTTGTGCCACTACAGATCAGAACACTAAATCAAGTGTAAGCCGAGAAATGGTAAATTGGTTGGTAATGTGTCAGGTTGCTTGATAGTGTTATGTATCAACTATCAAACATACTCAAAGTGACGGCTCAACCAACCTTGTTCCTTCTACTAGCTGATGGAAAACAACCTTTATGTTCAAATTTTGCAAATGACATTTGGCAGGCAAAGATAAGAGTGCAAGGAAATATACCTGATTAATTTTGGCTTTGCATTTCTTCTGTAACCAGTACAGACCAAACAAACAAACTTGTACTGTCTTAGACTGCTTAACCAGTATACCAGACATTGGCAGCCTGGAGAGCCAAAGTCATAGGTTGCCCCTGGCAGACAACATAAATAGTTGCAATGCACTACTGCAAAATCACAAAGACTGAGCGTTTATGGTACAGTTCACATGAAAGTATGGTCCTTAACACATCTCAGCTTAATTCTGCATGAATCACACTTCAAGATTAAGAAATAACAAAATCAGGTACTATTATTTACGCAAATCTCAAAGAGGGAGATGCCAAAGAAGAAACCTGCCTTATTAAATCAGGAACCAAGCTTCTCACAAAGTTCAAAAAGGGAGATGGCAAAGAAGAAACCTGACTTTTCATTCCATTGTGGCACTTTGAAAAGGCATTTTCACTATGATAGAAAACAGAATCAAAACCTATAAACTAAATTCCTGTGTTATTTGCGTATCGATCTAAGAAACTCCTGTCCTAGTTGGCCAACACCAAAAAGCTAGACAATTTCCATGTTTCAAAAAACAAGATAAGAGAGGTAGAGCTAGATTTCATTTGCGCTGTGTTCTCCTGATCCAATTCAAAACGTGAGAGCAGTCATCATCCCCAAGAAACACCCTGTTCACTGAGCGATAGGTTTTGAGATCACGGCTTTTGAGCACGCAACTTTCCCTTTTCATTTCAAGTGATTCAGGGACCATCCTTGCACTGCAGCCGTGGTAAGCATCACAGACAAATTGAACAAGCGCCTCAAATGGTTGCGAGCCATCGACCCAGTGGTAAATCTTCTCATTGCGGAACCAGGTAAGTTGCCTCTTTGCAAAGTTCCTAGATGTTCTCTGAAACTTGGAGAGAAAGTCAAGGAACTCTTGCGGGGTGCTTTCGCCTCCGTTCTGCCTACAGTGCAGCAGGTACTCCATGGCTTGCTTGTAACCGATGGCACTAGTTGCAGAGTTTATACGTGGCTGCAAACCGATATCAAGCAGCCATGAGGCTTCCAAAAGTAAGCCGCCTGTGTCAGCCAGCATTTCTTCACACCTCAGATCAATTGACCGGTACAGTTCAATGCGTGGACTTGCGAGGAAAATACAGAAGAAGTCATAATCCAGCTCCCTGGCCTCGCAGTTCCCAGCAGCAGAGGGGGCCTCAGTTAGGTCGGTGTCATGCTGTTCACAGAATGCATCGTACGGTGAGGCGAAGGCAGAAGGAGGGGAGCCTGATGACCTGATAATCTCAAGGCTACGGCTCAATCTGTTCCAGTTATTGACAGACAAGTCCCGAGCTTTGGGGTCACCAGCCTGCACCACCAGCTCTACCGCTTCCTCCCACTGGCCAGTCTCACGAAAATCAGCGAGCTCAGACCACACGGCCAAAGTGGTGTGCATGGATGACTGTGGAATGTTCGGCTTGCCATAAATGTACCATCTCAGGTACAGCCCAGTCCCTCCTGCAACAACAGGCACACAGCCCCTGTCAAGAACATCCTGCGTCGCCCTCCGGGCATCGCGGAAGAAGGCTCCAGCAGAGTAATCGTCGGACACGTCCAGTATGTCGATCAAGTGATGCGGCACTAGGCTCATCTCCGCCACAGACGGTTTGGCAGAGCCAACGTCAAGGCCACTGTAGACTTGCACGGAGTCCGCACTGATGATCTCCCCTCCGAGCCTCTTGGCCACCTCCAGCGCCAGTCTGCTCTTTCCAGCACCAGTAGGACCCGAGATGACGATGACCGTGTCTTTCTTCTTCTTTTCATGAGTTTGTGGTGGCAGAGAGGATGTGGCCATCGTGGTGATCTTGTTTGCGGCGCGGCAAGCTGAGGGAAGCCTGTGCTGTGACTGCGAGCACAGGACAGGCCAGGTCCTCCAGATGGCACGCCGCGTCGCCCCCAGCTGCTGTGGCCTCATCTCGCCGGACATGATAGAGGAACGGTACCTGCCAAAGAGGTAGACGGAATTTTAGGTTAGGATACGTGATTGCCTGAGACGAAAATGCTGCTGGACACCGTTTGAAGCTCCTGCAGGCATTTCATCAAACACCTAGGTAGGACTCAGTCGAGAGCTGCCACTGGTCAGTCCCGGCCTGGAGTCATGGAGTGGCAGCCTTATTTAGCCATGGTGAGCAGCAAGGAAGCGCTGAGTGTGCGTGTACAGGGTGAGGGACACATGGGGGTAATTCAAACGGAGGATGCGGACTAGTGGCTGTGGCTGCTGCGGCGAGTTCCGACAAGGTTGCTCTCGCGCGCTACACGGGGGCGGGGGAAGGGGTGGGCGGAAGCGGTGGAGCGGCAGCCATTCCGATTACCTTGAGCCAGCAACTTTCGGCCTCTCCTCCGTGCCACCGCCGGCGTGGTGCGCCCGGCCGCCGCGCTTCCGAGTTGCGAGCACGGAGCACCCGCCGGCGCCTCGGCCGTTAGCCACTGGGGAAGAGACCTCCTATCCACTGGCATTTGGGCCACTTGGCCCATGATGCCCACGGGACACGCTACTCAGAAATGTCTCGGGCTATGAAGCCCACGGCACACGCTACGCCGCAACCGCAAAAAGGAACAAAGGCGGGCTATGAAGCCCATGGTACTCAGAAAAGCAATAAAGGCCCAAAAAGAAACAAAGGAACAAAAAAAAAAGGCAAATAATAATAATGGAGATGCGGGGTATCGATCCCCGTACCTCTCGCATGCTAAGCGAGCGCTCTACCATCTGAGCTACATCCCCTTTGGTGCTTAATCTGGAATGGAAATGTATTTACATACACCACTAATCTAATCTTGCATTGCTGCTAACTAATCCGGCGGGCGCAGCAACGGGGAGGAGGCAGGATAAAGCAGCGGCCCGCCCGACCACGCCAGCCACAAAAGCAGCGGAGGAGCCAGCGCGCCCGACTCGCCGTCGCCGTGGCCACGTCTCCCCTCCCATGGCCACCAGCTCCACAGCCACCGCCTCGCTGCACCTCCTCCTCCCGGCCTCCCGCCGCCGCCGGCAACTCGTGCCTCGGGCCGCCCACTCCGAGTCCACCCCGCCCCCTGCCGCCTCCGTCGACCGCCGCCGCTTCATTGCCCACACTGCCGCCGCGGCCGCCGTCTCGCCTCTCGTCTTGCCCCGCTGGACCCCCGCGGCGCGCGCGGACGGCGCGCCGACGCTCTCCGAGTGGGAGCGCGTCTTCCTGCCCATCGACCCCGGCGTCGTCCTCCTCGACATCGCCTTCGTCCCCGACGACCCCTCCCACGGTATGAGTATGACGGCACTCTTCGTTCTTCAACGGCTAGCGCACAGACATCAAATCACAATGCACGTGCAGAGCCACTTCCTGTTAGTAGTCACTTACGCTGCACCCAATCCAACCAGTTGCATGCATTGCTGCTTCTGCCATGTCTTCAACCTCTGCACGCCAAACACCAAGGCCGCCTCGTGTTGGTGCTAATTTGGAGCCTGAGAAAAACTCAATCTTTATTTTTTTTTTTCTTCATCACCCACTGGTCCGGTTATGAACTCCTTCAGGCGTTCACCTTTTCAACGACAGCGCTAGCCGCTAGTGTAGTGTCTGCGAGTAAACGTTGACAGGGCACGCTTTCAAGTTTCAGGAGATGTCGTCTTCTAACTTGGCATCCTAGTGTTGTTCTCTATTTAATCTCTAGTAAAGGTTGAAGCAAGGCAAGCCATACACATTCTGTTACGTACACATATGAATTATGAAATGTAAGCCTGACTGACTGACACAGAGCTCATTCAGGTTTTCTCCTTGGGACAAGGCAGACAATACTGGAGACAAAAGACGGCGGTAACACCTGGTTCCCTCGCTCCATACCTTCCGCAGAAGATGAAGATTTCAACTACAGGTTCAACTCGGTAAGCTTCAAGGGCAAAGAGGGATGGATTATCGGCAAGCCTGCAATTCTGCTGCACACTTCTGATGCTGGCGAGAGCTGGGAAAGAATACCCTTGAGTGCCCAACTTCCTGGGAACATGGTATTTTCATTTTCGGCTACCACATACAAGACGCTCCCTCCCTTTGTTTGCACTCAAAGTGGAAACATAAATGAGATCATTCTTAATCGCTAATTGTTGTGAGACCATGGCAGGTTTACATAAAAGCTACTGGGGAGCAGAGTGCAGAGATGGTTACCGATGAGGGAGCAATCTATGTTACTTCTAACCGTGGCTACAACTGGAAGGCTGCCGTGCAAGAGACTGTTTCAGCTACTCTGAACAGGTAGAAACAAGTAAAACAAACTCACCCAGTTAATGCACAGACACTGAAGTACAACTCTCTTAAAAATGTTATCTAGTTTGATGAGGCACATTAATTTTTTCGTGTTAAAATTATTCATAGAAGTGCATGAAATAAAATATCTGAAAGTCCTGTTTTGGCCATTCAAGGGAGCAGTTAAAATGGTATAAAAGGCACCATGCCAGTCAGAGAAAATACTGTGTAGCCTCTTGATTTTATTTTTTTCCATTTGTTCTGATGATCTGTGGCTAAGGTGGTCTTCTTAGAAAAAAAAAATTAGCTGTAACTTAGTGATTAAACCATGACATTTTTGCTCTGTTTTCCCCTTGTTTTTGTTTGTGATGCAGAACAATTTCAAGTGGCATTAGCGGTGCAAGTTACTACACTGGGACTTTCAACACGGTGAACCGATCGCCCGATGGACGCTATGTGGCTGTATCCAGCCGAGGCAATTTCTATTTGACCTGGGAGCCTGGGCAGGTCTGTTAGAACTACCTGATATACATTACTTTGTTCTGTCTGTATGGGAGGGGTCCTGAAGTTTACAGGTATACGTCTTGGTATATCTATGTGCAGCCATTTTGGCAACCCCACAACAGGGCGGTGGCACGGAGGATTCAGAACATGGGGTGGAGAGCAGACGGTGGACTTTGGCTGCTGGTGCGCGGTGGTGGTCTCTTCCTCAGTAAAGGAACCGGGGTAAGAATAATGTGAAGTGCTTGAAGATTTGGACAAGCAGGAGTTGGCACCTTTTCTTTGTATCTTATCGTCGCTTTTGTTGCAAAATGAGGAAGCAAAGCTCCCTTTAACCTTTGTCATGTGTTGCCTTGGCTAGAATAGAAACAACAGCAAGCACCTGCCTGATGTTTTTCTGTTATTTGGAGATGGTCCTGCCGACCAGGTAACGATAATTGGTTTCTATGTGTAGATAACCGAAGACTTTGAGGAGGTGCAGGTGCAGAGCCGGGGGTTTGGGATCCTTGATGTGGGCTATCGCTCACAGGTAATTCATTGTTTAATATAGAGAAGACAGATGAAATTGCAATGCAGCTCTCAATCCTTTGCCTGAGCTAGTAGCCTTGTTGCACGACCGATGAGACTGAATGGCTCTCTTCCCAAATTGAATTCCTATGAACTGCACTGCACTGCAGGAGGAGGCCTGGGCTGCTGGTGGCAGCGGCGTGTTGCTGAAAACCACAAACGGAGGGAAGAACTGGGTGCGCGACAAGGCTGCCGACAACATCGCTGCCAACCTGTACTCCGTCAAGTAAGCAACGAAGCATCGATCCATAGATATGTGCATCCGCAACTGCTGCGCTCTTGTCAACTTTTGATCAATATATATAGGTGCTTGTTTGTCAGAAACATTTGTAACTGTGGCGTTGTTTGTGCTGGCACAGATTCCTTGATGACAGCAAAGGCTTCGTGCTGGGCAACGACGGCGTGTTGCTTCGATATCTTGGCTGAAAGAGTGTTGGAAGATCAGTTTCGGTCATCGTATGTAGCCCTTTTTTGTATTGTACGTGACGTAACGAAGGTATATTGTCGAGATACATACAATTGGTCGATTTATACAGCATATATATGTGTATGTACAACGGCATCTGCTGCTACTGCTAAGGCTGCTGACTGTGCTTGCATTCTCTCTTCCGCAACGCAAATGAGTGTAAAGATGTGCTGCTTGCTTGGAACTTGAAAACCAACCGTATGTACTATTTCTGTATCTGTATATGCTACCTGTTCCAAACAACCCTCAAACCAGGAGCAAGCAGAAATGCTACTCTTAAGAAATGCTGTGGCTATTATTATTGTTATTTGATCTTGATGCTGCTGCTGTTATATTGTTGTTATGGATAGTAGTTGCGTGAGCATATCAGTGAAACTCTCCATGGACCAAAACTTCAAGCAAGCCACTCTGTCTCCAAAACCGCCATTCTCGGTCTCCACTAGTGGTGAGACTGCCTGCCTCAGCTCTCCAAATTGCCAATCTATACGCACATCTAATGGTGATGTGCATAAAAGCACACACCCATTAGGACAAATTTAACTTTCTCGATGCGAGTTGCACAGGGGAGTCCACAAAGACTCGCCGACACGGTGAGTCGGTGACACCCTCCCTCTTTCTCGTTCTTTTTAATTTTGAACTTGTACAATTAAACTGGATAAACCATGAATTTATTAACATAGTGAAAACTATGATGATCCCCTAGAGTACAAAACAAGAATTAGATTCTCTTAGGGTGACTAGAGATATCAACGGTGAATATCCATGGGATGGTTCTCCATATATAGAGATATAAATACGAGAGGTTAGATATGCTATTGAGCTATCCGGAGTAGCATTTTGTAGGTTGAGCCAGACCGAGTTGGAAAAAGCTCTGAAACTTTCGGGCTCGAAATTTATGCCCATTATGTCAATGGGTATAGTCGAGCCTAGTGTTTTTGGACCAGAATTGAGCGCCACTATTTTTTAGTAGAAAAATAAACTATTTCTTACTAGCTCGAGCCCAGCTTAATTTTAGCATGGTTTCCTCCGTCTAAGCTCGGTCCTATGACAGATGTGGACCATCGCAACTCAGACCAAGCTAGTACATTGCTTAGAGCCTCTCAAAATCAAAGAGGGTGTATGCCAATTACTAGTCAAACTTTTTTTAAGGCTGACTAACTTTATTGAAAAAAAGTAATAACATCTTTAACATAAAATGAGTACCTTATGAAAATATATTCTACGGTGAATCTAATGATACTAATTTGATATTATAAATTTTAAATTTTTTTTAGATATTTGGTCAAAATTTAAAAAATTTGACTGAAGACAACTCTAAAAATCTATTTATCTAGGGACGGAGAATAGTAGGATAATGTAATAGAGAATCACAGTTTGAATTAGGAGGGAAAAGTGACTTTATCAAATAGGAGTTGACCCTTAGCTTTACTCTGGATTAATACTAGTACTTTTATTGTTACCGTCTGTCGGATACCATAAAAAGGGGTACCCTAAGCAAGAACCGAAAAGATTGCTTAGACCTTGCAAATATCAAAGCCAAAGGACAACCACGAAGTCTCGGCTGACTCTCCGATTCGTCCGAGGCCCGCGCCGCAAAGGCATCGGACGAAAGGCCAACTCTCCGCCTCGCCGAGGCCCTCTCGCCCGAGGCCCCGCCCCGCAAGGCCTCAGACGGGTTACCGATTCTCCGATTCGCCCGAGGCCCCGCGTATAAAGCCTCAGACGAAGTACTGATTCTTCGACTCGCTCGAGGCCGGCTTGGCAACAACCTCGTCGCCTCCGTCTCGACCGACCTTTCTGACAAAACGTCACGTCCAATTAACGCGTCCAACCACTCCCGCAACGTCAGCCGCACGTCGGCGCAGTACAGCAGAGTGGCCGACGGGACGGGAGACAGGACTGAGCGGGGATTACCGGCCACTGTGCTCAGCACTGCGCGCCCATACTGCACTGTGCTACCTAATTCCTGCTCCAGGAACAGCGCAGCGTGGGGAGTCAAGTCCGGGTCACTATAGCCTCGGAATCAGTGTATAGGACCAACTGCTCCCTCCAAGCCTCGACAATCCACTTCAGGGTCTCGACAACCTCGGGATTCGCGCCCGCCGAGCCCCCCACGATGGCTCGGCCTCGGCACCAACTGAGCCTCGGCTCTTTACACTGTTAACGCACAGCGACCGGCACGTCGTCGGTCATGCCCTGCGCCAAGCTATCACTGGAGCTCCCACGTCGCACAAGATCGGGTGTGACCGGCGCGTTGCTCCAGTGCATCAAGGACAAGACCGCTCCGTTGACCATGCCGCCACGGTGGTAAGCTACAGGACTCAGGCACGCCACCTCCGCTCGCCGCATAGCAAACACATGTATCACCCCTGTCCTCCCTTCAACTATAAAAGGAGAGATCGGGGCCGTTTCTAGAAAAAAGAAGATAGACGAACACTCGCATAGGCTCACGTAGATTCAGACACACGCTCCCCCGCTGCCTGAGAGCAGCGTCTCAAGCAGCCCACACCGCTCCATGCAGAGACCTGGGACTAGCTCCCTCTCTCGCCTAGCTTGTAACCCCCTACTACAAGCACTCCGGTGCGAGGAATACAAGATCGATCTCTCAGACTGGACGTAGGACACCGAGTGCCTGAACCAGTATAACCTTGTGTCTCTTTGCATCACCATCCGGGATTAGGGGCACGTAGTTCAAATTCACTAGTTGGTTGAGGACCCCCCGGTCCAAAACACCGACAGTTGGCGCACCAGGTAGGGGATATTGCGTGTTAGCTTAATCGTCCCAACAAGTTTCGGATGGCAGACCCCATACGCCCACTACGTCTTGGCACGGTGATCTGGTTTGGGACCCTAGAGTTCATGTCTCTAGGACGTGAATACGACCTAATACTCCTCCCACCCAGAGCCCCTTTTGCCGACGACAGCATCACGCACCAGCAGCCCGGGCGTAGGCGGCGCCTAGGCCGCCGCTCTCGTCGCACTCGCCAGGCACGGCGCGAGCGGGACCACCCCAACACCGCACGAGCTCAGGGCGATGCGCCGCGCTCCGATGGTATCCCATGCCCGGCTGTTGGTACAGAGTCTGAAACATCCTCAATTTTCCTTGAAGGGAAAATCCACATAATGAATTTTAATATGATAAAACCAGGAACTGATTCCATCATATTATCATATTTCAGTCGATGTCACAGTCATACATCGTAAGATTACAAGAATACAAGATATTACATTACTGGGGAACACACCTATTTACAGAGTTAATCTAGCGGAAGACTATCGAGTGAAGGCTCCTCCTTCACAGGCATCATCAGAGTTGGCGTAGTGCAGCGTAGATTCCATCTTCGAACCAACCTTGAGTGTAGGCACGAGACCTCCTAATCCTTCTAAAGTCAGCATCTCTGAGAAGCAGGAAATCTGCACACCACCAGATGTGTGCAGGCCATGGTCAGCACCGATGAGCTTTAGTGGAAAAAGATAAACAAGGGGTCTGGCTATCCTAATATTTGGCTGTGGTTTGCATTCTTAGCGCATGAGAAGTAAATAACAATTGTATTATAATAATAATATCCAATTTTTAACACATTCACCACCACACCATCCATATCCATCCACCAACCATCCATCCCGAACCTTCTCCACACCACCACACCTTATCTCATCTCACACACTCAGGTCGACAGGCCAACTCCCTCTCGGCCTTGTCTCAACGGCCCGCAGCCCCAAGGCTCACGACCGGAAAATACCCCAACCCTGGAGGGAGGAAAGGACTCATCTCCTATCTAGTTTAAGCGAAACCCAGGAAAGGTCCATAACCGACAAGTCGGCATATGTATCGATCGATCAACCATACACTCTACAGAGGTTTTACATACCCACAAGATTAGCCATCCTCGGAGCCATGTATCTCCTAGGTAGAATTCCAGTCGCTTGCTAGCCTAGAACGATGCCACCCTACCTCTCAGCCCTGGAACATCCCAAGTCTAGTCTGGGATGGCTGATACTGTGAGTCGTAGACAGAGCCGGGGCCCTCCGGATGTCAAGAGCCAGGTCCACAAGGCCTCCTAAAGTCTTGGAAGGGTGTGGGGGGAAACCGCGCACCCCGTACCTCCCTTGCACACGTTTGCCTAGCAATAGTGGCATTGCCCTACCAAGTAGTCCGACCGTCCCGCACCATATAGGGTGAGTGGGATGTAAAGGATTCCCGGTGAGTCTGAGTCCTAGTAAGTCCTTAGGGATGACCAAGCCAGAATGTCTTCATCAGGGTTTCCATTTTACGTGCCACCACAACACCTCTACCCCGGGCTCCACCTCTCCGAGGTTCACACCCAAGGCCACCTCCAATTACCATTTACCCGCCACAGGTATTCCATATCCAAGTGCCCAGGTAGCACCACATGGCAAGACTCGCCCCAGGCTCGTCGTTATTCCAGCTCGGTCGACACAACCCTCACTCTCCACGCACCCAAGACACATGCAGCACGCTCACACACCACCAAGTTCGGCACCCATAGCCAAACCATTCCCAGGGAGTTCACCACCATCATCACATCCCCGATATAATGTGAAGTGGAGTTAATAATAAGTATAGTGGTGTAATATGCAAGCAAGCAGGCAAGTATGCATATATAAGCGAGCGAATGCGCAAAGCAGGGTGACATGGTAGAGTGGGTTGCATCAGGGTAATAATGGCTCAGGTAGTAGCATGCATCAAAGTACTAGCAAAGGAATAATTATAAAGTGCTAGCAGTTCTAGATATTACGCAATGTCTAATAGGATTCTCTAAAAGAGGGTGATGCCATGACACCTGCGATGTCGAGGTAGTAGTGGTACAAATCTTCGTTAGTTGATGTAGTCAATCAGCAAGGTCTCCTCTTCCCAGGGTCCTGTCGTCGATCACGTTCTCCTTCTCCATCGGTTTCCGATCCAACGTTGTCCTCGTGGTAATTACCTCCAAAACAC